CCTCAGTAATATGATATACAAATCAGATCATAGTATACGCTCGTTCAGAAGAGCGGCTAAAAAAAATTTAACAAATTTCAATGACCTTAATTGAGATCATCTAGGTTCAGAACTATCGGATGTGAAATAAATCAAGATAAATTTCAGCAAGGAATAAAGTAAGCTGGTTGCAGCACAAACATTGTTAGTTGTACATATGTACATCAACAATGACAAGCATTAAGTTCCCTATTTAATAGTTCATACTATTCTGATCGGAGATTCAGAGTAGGTGGTGGTGCTGACCATGGGAGGAGGAACAGACGCCCTGAAGAAAAAGGTCAGTATTTTTTAATTATGATTTCGATTTTAGTGGTATTCAGACATTCACTTGATCCAAATACCTCTAATTACTCGAGAACATTCATTCTACTGGATCTAACAAAGTTCAATGAGTATAGATCAAACTTTGCATAATCAGATAGAAAGAGTATAAGTGGTATAACTGTACTTGGTAGCCTACAATAAAATCTTGTGTGAAGTGGAGAAGAGAAACTAAAAGATGAGCTAAAAGACAAAGCCGCAATATAAATAGATTAATTAAGGTTAAGTAAAATCTAATCAGCACCATGATTCGACAACCAAGAAATCAAAGTTTGGGAGTATCACTCCTAAAAATGTTTTCCTCGCCCACATAAAGAAGACAAACATCACAGCGAATGAGGTCGGAACCTGGATAATATAAATGTGTTCAAAAATTAGTGAAGGGTGCATCTGATGCACTACAGGATTTCATAATCTATTAACTCTATGCTCCTTTATGTTGTCAAGATTTTAGACGATGTTCTTCCTAATGTAACAACTGACTTTGTAGAAAAAAAAACAATAACTCTATAAATTCAATAAATATTAGTCATGTCATTCCTATACTTCTATAGGTAACAAATTTCCAAACCAGCGACTGTTAAATCTGCCAAGCTAACCATTGCATAATTTTCCAGACTGAATAAGAGGTAAGGGAGATATCCCTTTTGCACCTTGTCCACATTGCTGATGACGAAGGCATCCAGGTGGTGCTGATGAGCCTGTTCTTCTCGAGCGACCCTGCAACCACCTCACCTCAAGCGCCCCGCTACTTGCACCTCCTTCTCCGCGTCAGCATGGTGCCCACAAACCCGCCACATCCATATCCCCGGATAAGAAAATCACCACCAACATCACACCTCTAGGAGAACTTTGCTGCATTTACAGGCCAATTGTCAGCTCTCGTTGCTGCTCTATTATCCTCCTCCTTGCAATTCTTCATAGACTAAAGAGCAAAAAAACATTCAAAGTAAACTATATCCAGGCAATGAATTATATATATCAAAGATTAATCTTAGCAAGAGTGTACTTATATATATCACTGATACTGCTTATGAGCAGCTAAAGATGGGCTAATGCTTGCACTGGAGACCTTAATATAAAAGAATAAAGGCCTTAATATGTGTAATCTGCATTAGAGTAAATAATTTTCTATGCTGAGTTTCCAAATCATCTCCATAATTGAAAACCTGGATGGCTTCAATTTTAAAAGGAATAGCCTACGACTATGAGATGCTAAGCATGCTTTGCATCTGACCGAACTTCTCTGAACAATATACTCATACTATAGCCAAAAAACCATTTGCACACGTACGTGATAAATTATGACATTTGTTGGCGAGGAAACGACATGAAAAGCTGCTGCTACAGACTGGGTTAAGTGAACAGAACAACAATACCAAATCTAAACAAAAATAAATTGTACTATCATTAAAAAGAATCCATTGTAAGAGCTGCTACAGACCTTGAAGTACAGTAGCAGTATTCAAACACCAACATCGAGCACCTTCAGCGAGAGATCCGGATTAAAACACCAACATCGAGCACACATATATTTGATAGCTCCACTCCAAAAGTATGAAATTCCTCAAGTTGAATACCTATAAACAAAAGGTGAAATAAGGATCTCTTTTGGACATATCAACAAAAAGAGGAAAGGTTATGTTAGAGACCAATCGAAATCATCGAAAGTTCAGCACATCAGTCTTTCAGCAAATGTACATGCAAAGCAATTCTTTCTCGGAGTGAACTCCGAACTCTTCTGTCACACCGAGACGGTCTATACAGGTGCCGCCGCCGGCGGCGACGCCCTACCACAGAAGATCGTCTTCGAGTCTCGAGTTGCCGCACCCAACCCCAAGGACCTGCAGCACCACAACACCCAACATACGTGACGGCAAGGTGTCGTGCTTCGACGGCAGCGAGTCCCCAGCCGCGGCAGGGTGCCCCTTTGGTAGCAATGCAGCACCGTCGGCAGTGGGCATCCCGATGCCTTGAAAAAGCAAAGAAGAAATGTAAAGTGAAACTGATGGAAAAATCACAAGAACAATAAGTAAGACATACCATGAAAAAGTTGAGGGCATACTTCTTGTCCATTCAATGTAGTTTTCTTCCCATTCACGCCAACCCATCTCTCTCTCAAGATTGGCTGATCAATAATGCACATAACCTAAATAAAAGAAAAATAGTCAATGGCAAGTATTATAGAATAAATATCTAACATACATGACGCAATTAGACAACATGTCCAGAAGAGACTTCAGTATATAAATGATATGCTGAAATTAAACAAAAAATATTTTACAGGTTGCATCAAATATGTCGCAGCAGTAGTTAGTTGTTGACAGTATCATTAAAATGAAGCTAAATCACTCGGTACATGTAACTATATATGATAGGATGCTATCCAGTACAGTTTCCTTCAGGTAGTAGTGAAGAAAAATGGACAAAAAGAAGGAGAGCTGATATGAGAAAGAGAAAATTAGCATACCGGCATGAGCTATAATTCGAGTGCTAGTTCAACATACATAGACTCAATAGAGCAAATCGTTGTGCATGTTTCACGCATCTAAAAAAATTCTAGTTCAATTGAGAGAGTCACCAGAGTACTTTATATGGTCTTTCTGCACTTTTTCTTGTCGAAGTAATATAACTTGGTGGAGGAACTCAAGATTAGCCAGGGCACTCACACAAATAGCTTTATGAAAGAAACTGTAGCTGCCCTTATGGGATGCACATCTATACCTGTACCGCTGCACGAGCTCACCCTTGGAGGCGACCTGTATGACACGAAGCACATGTTCATGACGGAGTAGATGTATTGGTCACCAAGCGCAGGGGAGCACATGCACGAAATGTCTTCGAGTCGCGAGTTGTCGCACCCAACCCCAAGGACCTATAGCACAACAACACGAAACATAAGTGGCAGCGAGGTGTCGTGCTTCGACGGCAGCGAGTATGAGAAGCTCACCTTCCGACCAGTTACAAATCAGCTGGTGCTTCCACACAGCTGACGCCCGAGCTCTCCAAACAGAAGTATTCTTATTTGAATAAGGATGAGCATGAGCATGATCAAGAATATAACTGAATCAGATGGTGTTTCCAATATAACTGAATATAACAAGAATGAGCATGATCAATAGCAGATTGAAATGGCTAAACAGACAACCACCATCTTCCCGAATCAACGAAGACTACACGGCAGGGAACGAAGTGCTCATGGAACCAGCCAAAATTCACACCATCGGACATGGATGCCTCTACCGGCGGCGGATAGGACGAGAAGCCGGGTAGATTCGTCCCCGTGAAATTCCGCACAACCGTGGCCGGATCCTACGAGGTCATCCTCGTTGCCGTCGGATTCATCCACGTACATCACGGTAGGGGGAGGGGCGAGAAGGTGAGCATCTTCTCCTCGGCGAAGGTGAGCATCACCCCATTGTCTTTTCGCTGCAGCTGCATGAGCACGACACATGGGACAGTAAGCAGCAGCAGCACGAACACACAGGGCGGCCAGCCACAGAACAACATCATCAGTACGGGCCGGCCACAAGCACACGGGGCCGACGGCGGGTAATAGCAGCACCTGCAACATGATGGGGCGGCGGCGTCTCGCTGGAAACCCTAACCCTAGCTCGCCGGCCCAGGCAAATTGGGTGAGCCAGAGAAAGAGGACTGACCTAGCCGTCGCCTCCGCCGAGGACCACGGGGAATCGCTGGGAGGAGCCGCCCTCGTCTTCCGTCGAGCACCAGCAGAGACATAGGGGCGGCGGGTTTCGACTTTTGATCCAGGTGGATGGGCGAAGAGGAGAGCGAGAGGGATCTGTAGAAATGCACGGGATCTCGGCGGCGGCGAAGGGCGACTCCTCTCGGATATCGATGCCGGCTCCTCGATAGCCTCTTGGCGGCGAAGCGGGAGGCGGGGCGGCGGCGGTGGAGTGGGAGAAAGAGGGAAAGAGAGAGGTCGCAGCGGGAGGGGGTGGATCGAGAGGAGGGGTCGCAGCGGGAGGGAGAGAGAGAGGGAGCGATCGTTGGGTTTTTTTGGCACCGGTTTTTTCGCAGAAGGATAGTGAGTTAATGGAGGTGGGAGGATAACAAAAATAAACCAGCGAAAATAAACCGCACGGACTATTCACCAACTCGTTCATTAGAAGTAGAGATGATATAAATGAGACACGTATTATCATGACAAAAATATGGACAATGATAATATCCCTTTCTTCTAAAGTATTTACAGCCTGGTATAGCTAATCCAGCCCGTCAAACATCCACAGGCGCGCCCATTTCACGGATAGTGACCTGTCACAGCTCAAATGTTCTCTTCCACAACCAGCATCTTGCATTGATGGATGTGGTGAATCGGTTTACCAAGGGCACGTTTGTTATTTTTTTATCTTATGGGGTGTCTTTTATCATTGCCTCTTTGCAGTTTAGTTCCGCAGTTTGTCTCACAAAAAAGTCTGTTCTTCCATACAAATCATGCAACTTTATTAAATGTCACTACAGGAACATATCAGAACAGTCTTGCTAATTTCAGTCGTCCGAGATTTGGTTATGCCTCAATTGATGCTAGAGATCTTACATTAAGATCCACGCAAAATTTTCTTTTCAGCTTTTCTTTTAGTTCTTAAATGTCATGTCACTTGGCTGAGACTTGGTTAAGTTTTAGTCAACTTAGACCTAGCCACAATTGAAGTATTAGACACAGGTTGATCCTTCTCCTCATTACTCGCGAGCTCTGTGAGATGCTGAATCATGCCCGCGAGGTCATTGTCCGAGGACCCGCCTTTTGACATGGCCTCCCTCGCCTTCGCTGCGAGCTCCATTGCCTTTGCCCGCACTTCCGCCCCGTCGTCCATCAGCTTGGCCACCGTCCTTACGACATCGTCTGCCCAAACCTGCACTGACGGTGTCTCAGGGTCCAGGAATACGTGGGTCGACGGCACCTTCACACCGACACGAACACCAGCGCCAAGCACGTCAAGGACTAGCTTCTCGTTCAGGAACTGGTCAGCAAAGTGAGGCCAGGTCAGAAGCGGCACGCCATTGGAGAGAGACTCCAGCGTGGAGTTCCAGCCACAGTGCGTCAAGAAGCCACCCACCGCCGGGTGCGACAGGATGGTCATCTGCGGTGCCCACCCACGGATGACCAGGCCGCGGCCCTGCACCAGCGTGTCGAATCCGGCGTCCAGGTCGTCGCCCTCCTTGGCCACCCAGACGAACGGCCTCTCCGACGCCTCCAGCCCGGCGGCGAGCTCGACGACCTGCGGCGGTAACAAGCGGGCGATGCTGCCGAAGCTGACGTAGAGCACGGATCCTGGAGGCCTCGCGTCGAGCCAGGAGATGATCCGGCCTGCGTCCATGACCGCCCGATCGCCTCTCCTGGCCGTCGTCTCGCTGTCGGAGTCTAGGAGGCAGAGTGGTCCGACCGCCCACACCTTTCGGTCGAGCGCCCCCGCGTAGCCCTCGATGAACGAGCTTTCGAAGGCCGCGCACGTGTTGACGACGAAGCCGTCGGCGGTGGCCTCGGCATCGAGCGTCTCGCGCCGTTGCGTCTCCAGCCCTGGCCACTGGAAGAACCCGAGCGACATCGCCTTGTTCACGACCGTGCGCACCGGGAAGTTGGGCACTTCGAACAGCTCGAACTCGCCGGAGGCGCGGTCGCGCACACCGTGCTTGGCCAGGTTATGCGCCGCGAGGAGGAAGAACGCTGACGGACCGTGGAACACAAACCGTGGGATGCCGAGCCGTCGAGCTACGTCCGCCGTCCACGGGTTGCAGGTGTCTGCGACCAGGCAGTCAGGCCGCCGCGGCAGCGCGCGGAGGTACGCCTCGAGCGGGCCCGCGAGCAGCCACATGGCGTCGTAGAAAAGCTTGATATGTGACAGGTCACTGACCATGTCGTGGCTCTCGCAGCCCTCTGGCAGGCCCGCCGCGGCCGATGGGAAGTCGAGCTCGGCGAAGTCGACGGCGAGCCCCGCGCAGCGTGCGTGCTCAAGAGCGGCTCTGTTGCGCGCGGCGTTGACGGGCGTCAGGACAACGGTGACGCGCGTGCCGCCGCGCCCGGCGATGAGACGCGCCAGGTCCACCGTGGGGATCACGTGGCCCTGCGCAAGGAGCGGCACCAGCACGAAGTGTAGCGGCGGCGCCATCTCTATGTCCATTGGGCTGCCGGCTGTGCCACAGCTGCTCAGCCAGATATGCCATATATGTACCCGTCGCTCGTCCGAGGTTAATGGTGACATGTGGAGAGAGAAGCCAAGAAGCATCTCGAGGTGCACTGCAGGCCTTGGCAAGAACCACAAGTGGACAAGTACCTCGGCGGCAAACGCGGAGAGCTTTTCGTTGCGACGGCAACGTGCAGCATTGGCGCGCGAATGGGATTGGCCGCCAACTGGAGGAGCAGGAGGTAGCCACGGCTTCGGTGCCGGGCTCTGGTGGACACCGGCCGGGAAGCACCGAAGTAGCTAGCGTTTGTGCCAGGCGTTTTTCTGTGATGACGCATGCGTGGAGAGGGATGATTCGCGTTGCGCGCACAACCGGTTAGGATAAGCCATATTCCCGTGGAGAGAAGCTTCTTTGGCCGTTTCATCAGGAATTGAGGATGCAATCTCAAAAAAAAAAAATCAGGATGCAAAGTGACCGGCACCACTCGCTCGTCGGTACTATTCCGCTGTTGTTCATTATCCCGTCGTTCATTGAAAGGAGGAATAATGTGGTCGACATCTTGTGTCCTCGTTGTTTCTCCCTTCTACTTTCCCTGCTGGCACTTGTTTCACCATATATAGACTCAACAGACAACAGGGATGACTAACCAAAACTCTAATGATGTTCTCCACATTCGGCACGTTTGATTCCTATTAAACTCGAAGTTTACAGACAAAATAAAACACGCGTTCCATTTACCCGCTAGTTTCCCTGCCTGCACAACATGCATATGGAAGGGAAAGCTGGTTAAACATGTGTTCCCTTCCTCTTTTTTTTGAGGGACACGTGTTCCCTTCCTAAATAAACTCCACGTTGCTAAACTTCCCAACCGGCCATATTGGCCCACATGTCAATGAGCTATCGCCACGCGCTACCTACCCGCCCCCTTTCACACTGCATGCCAGCCTCCCGCTATGAATACCTTCCGCACCAGACCGATCGACGTACCACTGGGTGGCATTCCCAACACATAAACATGAACCACACCGCCGACGCCGGGAGAACGCTAGCAATGGCTGCACCGATCAACGGGGGCAGCGGCTGGACGCTGCTCCGCCCGCTCTGCCAAGGCGCGTCTGGTGCTGCTGTATCTCTCGCGGAAGACGCGGCCTCTGGGGAGCTCTTCGTCGTGAAGTCGGCGGCTGCCGGGGATGCCGCGCAGCTGCGCCGCGAGTGGGGCACCATGTCCGGGCTATCCTCCCCGCACGTCGTCAAGTGCCTAGGGTTCCGCTCGATTGGGGCGCTAGATCACCTGCTGCTGGAGTTCGCGCCCGGCGGATCACTCGCCGACGTGGCGGCAGCGGCAGGGAACGGTGGAGGTTGTCACCAGCGGCGCGGGCTCGAGGAAGACGCCGTTAGGGCTTACGCGGCGGACGTGCTGAGAGGGCTGGATTACCTCCACGAGAGGCTCATGGTGCACGGGGACGTCAAGGGAAGGAACGTGGTGGTCGGCGCCGACGGGCGGGCCAAGCTCGCCGACTTTGGCTGCGCGAGGGCGGCGGGTGATACAAAGCGGCCGTTCGGCGGGACGCCGACGTTCATGGCGCCCGAGGTGGCGCGCGGGGAGGATCAGGGTCCCCCGGCGGACGTGTGGGCGCTGGGGTGCACCGTCCTCGAGATGGCCACGGGCGGTCGCGTCCCGTGGGGAGACGCGGATGATAACGTGCTCGCCGTGCTGCGCCGAATCGGGTTCACCGACGCCGTACCGGAGGTGCCACAGTGGCTCTCGCCGGAGGCTAAGGACTTCCTGGGCCGGTGCTTGCGGAGGCGCGCCTCTGACCGTGCCACGGCGGCGCAGCTCCTAGAGCACCCATTCGTGGCACTGGCAACGCCAATCAAGAAAGAGGAGGAGGTGGTGAAGAAGCGGACATGGGAGTCTCCCACGAGCACGCTGGACGCGGCGCTTTGGGAGTCAGACTTTGAGCCCGACGACGACGATGACGACGTGGAGGGCATGTCGTCGAATAGCCCGGTCGGCAGGATCAGGGAATTGGCATGCACCGGCCTGCCGTTGCCCGACTGGGACCCAAATCAAGGCTGGATCGAAGTCTGCAGCTGTTAAGTGATGGATTTTAGCGTGTTCAGTCAAATAAGGACTCCGACCAAGGCTGGATTGGCGATCATCGCGACATGTCGGCCGATGATGTCGTTAGGCAGTCCTCAAGATTTTATGGTAGTACCATGCAGCAGCAGCCGAGCTCTTCAGTGATACAAGGCAGGGTGTGTGAAGCGTAGGATCAGTAGCTATAGGAGTTGTGCGTAGTGATATCAGAACGCATGCACTCTCCTAGAGCTGTTCAATGGCGCCCCCAGCTTTGATATAATTGTGAAGAATATATTTTAGAAGGCTTAGATCGAGAAAAATAGTTGTTATCTCCCTCAGATTTTCATGATTTTCTCCTGAATCTTTTGCCTACCTCCGCCACCAAGTTGCAGCCAGTATAAACTACTTATATTTACAAGGATTTTTTTTTTTTGAAACAAGGCAAAAGATTTGCCATTTTCATTGATTAAGGAGAAGAGAGTTGCCCAGTTAATTAGAGGAAAACCGGGCGAAAACCTAGATACAAACCCCATAAGGGGCACACACGGACGACCTGGCCACAACAACGCCAAACAGTCGACCCCAACGTCGAGGACATGGCAACTCCGATTTTGCTGACGAGCATCACAGGAGAAAGTTGCAAGCCTGGCACCGACCTAGACCAATGCAACACCCTGAGAGCGCCGCACGCTGAAAACCGCCCTCATGGAGTCATCGTTGCCGCAGCGGCCTCGCCTACCGCAACTCCGACTTCTCTGTCACAGCCAGAAACCAGCATGGGCACACCCATTGGCGCACCGGACCTTCGACATCAAAAGGACAAGCCGCGACTCAGGCTCTGCTCGCCATCATCATCGTTGCCACACGCGTCGCAACGCCACACCAACCTCACCGCCGGCCGGGCACCTGCCGACCGCGATGTCGTGCACGTCCAGCCTGCAGGAAGCACAAAAGGGACCAAGATCTCCAAGACGGCGCCCCCAAGAGGGAAAACGACGTTGAGACGACGCCGCCACCTGATCCAACCAGGATCCTGACTTTCGCCCGGAGATCTTGACCCGAGAGATGAGGATGCACAAATCACCACGACGGCGCCTCCAAGGAAGAAAGCGACGCCCACGAGCGCCGCCGCCGCCGGCCAGCTAGCACCGACCAAGCTTTCGCCCGGATCAGCAACACCACCACTCCCACGCGGTCGACCGACGCCAACCAGCACCTCCACTGACTCGCACACCCCCTCCACAGCAACCGCGCCATCGCCACGCAGGGACCACCACCACGCCTCGCTGCCGAGCCAATCGAGCTGCCCAGACATGAGACGAGCCTCCCTCCACCAAGAACACCGCGGCCGCCGCGTCGCCCGCGCGAACTCCACGGCCGCCGACACATCAACCACCGTCCCGGGGCCGCCGCCCCGGAGTCCAACATCGCCACGCCAGGCCCGGGGATAGGAGGTCGCCCCACCGTGTCGCAGCCACCGCACCACGCAGTCACCGCATCGTAGTAGGAAACCACCACTGGCAGGCCGAATCCGACCACGCCCGGCCAGATCCGGCCGCAGCCAGCCCTCCCGTGGACCACCAATGCTCCACCGAGGCTCCCGCGCCACCACGCCGAGCGGAGCCGGAGACCATGACGGGGAGCAACCTTGGGCTGCAGGGGCCAGCCCGGAGCAGCGGAGCAGCGCCGCCCCCGCTCTCGAAGACAACGACCGAGAGGTCCTGCCGCCGCCGCACCGCCAGGGCTTTGCCCGGCGACGCCTCCGGCGGCGGCGAGAGGAGAAGGAGGCGCAGGGGGGCATGCTCGAGCTTGCAGGGGCGCCCCGGTGCGGCCCGGCGCGGCCGCACGGGAGCGGGACAGGAAGAGGGGAAGGGCCCGACTCGAACTCCGCGGGGAGAGAGAGCCGGTGAAGACGGCGCCGGGCTTCGGAATGGATGGAGAGAGGACGCCGAGAGGGTCCCGGATCTGTGCTTGGCTGGGCCGGAGGTGGCCGGAGGAGGGAGATCAGCCGGCGGCGGCGGCGGTCCCTGCGCGAGCGCGAGAGCTACCTAGCGCGAGGCTCGTTCGAAGCTGACTTTACAAGGAATTTTAGTTCCCCTGTTCCACCTCAAGTCGATCAGTCGAAACGAAATGGATTCATCCGACGATTTTCATGTTGCTATGAGTGAACTTCACAATCAGGGGAACAAAGAAAATGCGAGCTTCGAGAAGCGTAATTGAACAATGGACACATCATTCTTATTTGTGCAAGAAGTAAAGTATTTCTGGAAGCCGATGGACCGTGGACCAAGCTATGCATGCTTCCATGCTGTAGCACTTCACACAATTGGCTCGGCTAATACTCCCTCCGTACCTAAATATTTGTTTTTCTAGATATTTTAACAAGTGACTACATACGAAGCAAAATGAGTGAATCTACACTGTATGCACATTCGTATATGGTAGAAATCTCTAAAAAGACAAATATTTAGGAACGGAGGGAGTAGAACTGTACCGCAGCCTTGCCCATTGCCCGGTTTTGAAGCTGTCACGGCCTATTGCATCATTTTGTGGGTCACCTTCAAAGGCACGTTCCTGGAGGGCTACGCAGACGCGCTCGGCTAGCTCGACCGAAAGGTGTGAGCAGTCCGACCATCCTGCCTCCTAAACTACAGCATTGAGAGGACGGTCGTTAGAGGCCATCGCGCGGCCATGGACGCAGGCTGGATCATCTCTTGGCTCGATGCGAGGCCTCCACGGTATGTGCTCGCCTGCTTGTTACCGTGGCAGATCATTGAGCTCACCATCGGCCTGGAGGCTCCGACCGGCCGTTCATCTGGATGACCAAGGAGGGGAGAAACCTTGACATGGGCTCGACACGTGGGTGGGAGTCTCTCTCCAGCGGCTTGCCGATTTTGACCTGGCCACAATTTTCTCGCCAGTTTAGATGCATGCTGGAAGTGGTCTTGGAGTGGAGTAATAGCTATAGTTGCAGTTGGATAACGGTCTATAGATTTACGGACGTGACGCTCATATGCT